TTCTTCTTCTTCTTCTTCTTCTTCTTCTTCTTCTTCTTCTTCTTCTTCTTCTTCTTCTTCTTCTTCTTCTGCTACCTTTCAACCTACCCTATAGAGGAAAGGAAAGGGGAGGGGGTGTTGTCACAGCATTCGGTTATAAATTAAAGTGTGACTTCATATTCCAACAGAGACAGAGACCTCAAGGCAAGAACTGAGGAAGTGGAACAACTGAAAGTTTCGCTTGATGCGGAACGCACACACAAACAGGTGAGTCCACAGTCATCTTTCTGTTTTCTAAAGGTCAGAGTTTTGGGTCAACGCTTGGGTTTAAGTGCTACTGTATAGTAATGGTGAACACTGGCGCCATAGATTCACACAACTTCATAATGGGCAGCGAATGAGGTATTCTATAACATCGAGATACGAGCGGCGTGGCAGCCTGTATGTTGCTAAAACACTGTCTTCTGCTCCCAGGAAGCTGAGAATGTTTCTGAGTGTTCTATGGCCTGCTGGGGTAATAATATTATAGTGTAAAGCGCATAGAGCTTGCTTTCGAGTGGGAGCATGCGCTACACAAATGCTATTTATTATTATTACTCGCATTTCTCATCCGTTGGGTCGCCTGTGACAGATGACAAAAAATTTATTCCACTCTTCTCGGTTTTCCTCATGGTGTCCCACAGCTCCATGGCTGCCCATACTCGGATGTTATCCTTCCATCTTTACTTCTATCTGCCTCTTCTTCGTCCTCCCTGCACAGTGCCTTAAACACTGCCAATCACATTTTAAAAAATAAATCTCTATCTACAGCCCTATCTATTGCCAAGTCGCCTCTTGCACCTGGGTGAATTTCTTCGGCTTTCCATCGATATTGTCGATACTAACTAAAGCAACTTTACTTTGCCTTGGCCGTTGAATTGGAGGGAGTTGATTGCCCGCGTACTACTTCCCCCCGAAGGAGAGACATAATCAGTGCCTTTAGAATCAAGGGTGTGTCTATAAGATAAATATAAAGTAAAACATTTTTAAAGAATACTATAACTGAAATGGTACCCATAATCTTACGATTCCGAGTTCAATTCCCGAACCATGCAAGGACACCCCATAAATCGTGTGTGTGTGTGTGTGTGTGTGTGTGTGTGTGTGTGTGTGTGTGTGTGTGTGTGTGCGTGTGTGTGTTTCCAGGATCCTACCCAAAGTGACAAAGAGCCCTAAAGTTGCAGAACGGGCTGACAAGTGTCCCAAGAGTTCCAGCAATTTTGTTTCACCTATTTTAAAGCGTAGATAATCAGAAGAGTGCTGTGCTGTGCATAATCCACTCAAGAAATGAAATCCTTCCCTTTATCTGAGAACAAACATAGCGGTGTGAATGACGTCTTGTCGTGAGCTTCGATCATTCAACGTAACGTGTAAGGAAGTTTATTTGCGATAAAGAGCGGGAAGCATTGGCACAATGTGCTCGTCCAGGTACAAAGGAGACGCTAATACGGGGTGCCCACTACGGATGGGATCGGCTGATCGGGCCGATCGCCCGACTCGATCGCCTAAAAAACAAACGTGTTTGTTTTCAGTTTCAGGCGATCGAGTAGGGCGATCGGCCCTTTAGGAACAGACACAGAAAATGTCGAGCTAGATCTACATGTTTTATGAATGGATTGGGACAAGCAAAAAAAAGCAGATGTGCAATAGGAAAGGAGTATCGCAGACCGAAATGACAGATGTAACACTGACAAGAAACAAGACAGAAAGCATTGAGAGACATACTATGACATAAAAGGAGTAGGATATACAGAAAGCAATGGAGTGTTACAGGAAAACCGTAGGACAGATGTAAATTAATAATAGATTGTATTTATATGGACCCCCCCCCCCCCCTGCTTGATAGCAGGTTCCATGCGCTGTATCAATTAACAAATGGAATGTAGACATGGTTTGGGAAAGACGTAACATGGCAACAGAGTAATCGAAACGCTGGCTCGGAAGAATTTGAAGTCCCAAATCGAAGCTAAAAGTATAGTAATAAAAGCACAGGATCTGTTTCTGCTTCGGGAGCTAGGTCTAAATTCTTTCATGAACTCATGAAAAAACAATGAGAAGCTTCAGGAAGCTGAAAGAGGATGACAATGACGATAACAAACGTTATTGATCTCTCAGTGAGAAAAAGCCCCCCGACTGAGTATCTTTTTCCCTCTCTTTCTAGTTTCTATTTCTCTCTCCTCTTCACTCCTTCATATCTCTCTCTCTCTCTCTCTCTCTCTCTC